ACCCAAACTTCAAACTTCTAAAAAAGAAAAAATCCTAGGCAGAAAATGAATATTGTATGGATATAAAACTTCTCTAACTTTACAACCCTGCTCTTTCAAATCATCATACTCATCAAACAGCATACAGAATAGGAAAACAAATGTGAATGAAAAATTAGGAATGTTAAAAAAAAGTACATAAGGTGAGAGTATTCATCAAACATTGGAAGCACAGATTTGGAAAAAAAGAAAGACATGGTATTGAAGGAAAAATGGAAACCAATTGCAGTTAAACATTGCTTCCCCCACAAAAAGTAATTCTTTTTCTGCATTGGCAACTGGAAATTAAACTTCATTCATATGTAAATTGTTCCCTTTAAGCTAGTCATTCTTTTTTCTTGTAGCTTGCCTGCCTAGAAGCAATAGAACTGATCTCTTATGAACAGATCAGTCATGTTACATTGGCTGATTTGATCACAAGCTTGTACAGATCTGATTTTGTACCTCTAAACAAAGATAATTGTCTCTAAACAAAGATAGTTAACTTATGATATAGGCTTGCCAAAAACAAAATTGTAGTAGAAGTGCAAGTCCAGAAAGAAAAGGGAATTACTAATTCTTGTTTTGCTAATAACCAAGACAAAGTAAAAGATGAGTCTGCATTTAGGAATTTGATTAGCTTACATGACTTGCAATTAATGGAACAATCAAGTAATCTCTTCTGGAAAAATAAGATGCTGATTCAGGTATTGGCATAAATGGAAATTACATGAAAAAATTACCCTGGTTAAGGATTAGGACTAATTATCTAGTAATTTTACATTGAAATGGCAAAGTAAATTCTACAATTCAGGCAAATCAAAACCAAATGGCTCAATTCTTTTGTCTGTAAGAAGGGAGCAACAGGTAGTTTGAAGTAAATTACTTTTGTACAATACAAGTAAGTTTCTCTCAAAGTTCAATCATAACTTCTGAAATTATTGGAGTTAAAGTATTTTTTTTTTAAAGCATAAGAAAGAACATGTCTGCCTATGGAATCATGCACAATTGTCTTGGTATATCAATTTTTAATTTAATTTGACTTCTTTCATTTATCCAACATTTTTTGAATAAATAATGCAATTATATTCTACTTAGGCTCTAACAATTCCACCTGAATTTTGGAATCACCTGCAAAAGATATACATTGCATGATGAAACAGGAAAAGCAACAATGATAATTTTTCCTATCATTTCACTCATCATTTTTTTCATTCAGAATCCATTGAAAAACATTTTTTAAAAATTACCAAAATTGATTGCAATGTAATATACCTTTTAGAGAGATACATTTTGATTAAAAACCACAATAGCAGTCATATTTATTAAGGATGTCTTAACTCACATGTTTGCATGTGAATGAAAAAAATTCTGCAAGGCAAATATTGTTTCCATAAATTCAAGAACCTAATCTATATTGTTTAAATTGTGCTTTTTATTTATGATGTTATATTGCTGTTGTAGGCCAGAAACAACAGGTATATATATCTAAAGGGCTGTTTGAGAAGCAGTTACTATTCTCCAAATTTTGCAAGCTTAGATTCAGCTAGGATTTTCTTTAAGTAGGTCTAAAGCCACCATTTAAAAAAGCCTCCTAATGTCCTTCTGTTGATTAGGCATTAAGGATGCTCTGAGCTGTTCTTGGTGGCTTTCAGGAATGCAGACTCTTTTACTTTATGCTTCTAAACATTTTTGTCTCATCTGTTATCCACATACAAGGAGTTAACAATAAATAGACAAAAATGTAGGTAATGAAGCTGTACAATAGAACAAAGACAGTAATGGTCACCTTATTTTTTGGCCAATAAGTCAATTTTGGTCACCTTTTTTTTGCTATTATTATTTTAGAGGACGATAAGCATGATCTCTGCTGAAAAATGCAGCACAGACTCTTCCTCTAGCAGTTAAAAGTATGTTCAAACAAAAGATAAAAAAGCTTTACTTCCTTAGCATAGTAACAACAAAAAATGTAAAAAAGCTTTACTTCTTTAGCACAGTAGCAAAAAAAATATTTACAATATATAATACAATGTATATACAATATTACAGAAACATTTGCTATAATCCAACCTATTAGCTATTACAGTAATTGTGCTGCTTTTGTACAGTTGTGAGAAGTATATTTCTACCTCGTTTGATTCGTATTCATGACACCAACAAAGGATTATTGAAATAATTATAGCAAAATATAACAGATTCGATTGACACGTGAACATACCATGCCTATAAATGTGTAATTTTTTTAAAAAAAATCTTACTTCAGGAGAAGAAATATGAGATTTATTTCAAAATCAGAAAGATAAAGAAAATTTATGTTCCTACTGATAAATTGACAAAATGTTAGTACTAAAAAGGTAGACAATCGCTTGAAACTAATTGCTAGGAATGTTCTCTTTCTGACTCCAGCTCAGAGAAGAATCAATTAGTTCTTCTCAGGCTATGACCTTGAAAGATGCAACCCCAAACAGAATATGCTGAGTTGGAGAGAAAGGAAATGAGATTCTGCCATACACAAAAAATATCCAGCTTCAAAATTGACCTGTCAGGCTTTGAACTATACTTAGTTTGAACAGTGCAACGAAGCTCAATGCTTCCTTACATGTATATGCTTCACTCTCTTCCAACAATCCACCTAATTGATTTCTTCTACAATCCGCTCCAATAACATATAACCTCTAATTTATGATAGGGTTAGGTTGTAAGTCACCTCTTACCTCTTTACATTTTATGCCAAACCTATGTTTTTTTTAACTTGTAACCTTGTTCTCTCTTATGTAAAGATGTTCATTGCTGCAAAACTTAAGATAGACTGATTTTAAATGCAAATGAAAACATAACCAAAGGTATCTCTCTATGGAATTAATGTGGAGTCACCTCCTTCCTTTATTCTGCAAATATCTGAGTTAATTGCATTACCAATAAAACCAACCAGCTGTTATAACTCCTTTTTTCTCCCTGTAGAAACTTATTCAGTGACTAGGGTATAAGCAGAGGCCATATTTTTGGCCTAATTTTATAATATTGAAAGAACTAAATTCCTTAACAGTTTACAGACTGTTGTGGGCCAGGCATTTTAAAATTTGTATTTATAGGTCTTTGGTATTTTCTGGTCCTCTGGGAAGAATTTTTTTTCTCCTGCTAATGATAACCCATTTGTCAGCAGTGTTATTTGGAAGGAAGAAAAGATGACACTGTTGTGTGCAAAAATGGTCTGAAGCAATCTTGATATATGACAGTTACTTAGCTGATCTTTACTATACAGCGATCCATCCTTTATTTGACAGGTTATCAGTTCAAGATAGGTAGAGCTCCAGCCAATACTTCAGTAATTAATTCTCAAAGCAAAAAGTACATGAAGAAGCTGCATTGTTATAACCTTCAATTCCTCTCAGTGAGACTCTGTCATCTGAAATATAATAACTAGGCAAGAACCAAACTGTAGTTGCTGAAAATGGGTACAGCGTTCCTGAAAGTGATAGGATTTCTGAATTGTATAACTCAAGTCATTCATACATGAAAGCTATAAGCCTAAAGTTATTAATCTAGCAGAAGAATTGCAAGAACTTGTGCAGACCTGATTTTTGAAATGGCAAAACTGTTTCAATGACAGAATTTATGAGACATGTATCTACACAGAAGAGAAGATGCATCTTTGATACATCATGCTCTCAGAAGGAATACCTACAAAGCAGCTTGGCCAGGGAAAAAAGAGGGAGAACATTCTTGCATCAAAAGTGAACATACATCAAAGGACTAGCAGTGTTCTTCACTGCATGTTCCTCTTAAACATTATGAATCACTTCAAAGCAGCTTTCTGATTCAAGACACACCATGCACGAACTGCATTATCACAACACTTGCATTTTAATAAACCTCAGCACTTTTGTTCTCTAATATTGGAGGTGATTCTATTAAAGATACAAAAGGTTAGAAATGATTTTGATAAAAATAAATGCTAACTTTCTTTCAGGGCTGCACATCAAATTATCCCATTACATTTTCATTACTTGCAAGTTTGGTATGTTAGTGAAAAAAATGTTTTCTCTGTTTTTCTGATTTGAACCATAAGACGAATGGGATAAAGTTATTAATTTAAAGTGATGGGTCAAGATTTGGCCAATCAGCAAAGAGGGGGTGTTTTGAGTTAAATTATTCAGATACCTTCAATCCTGAAAAAAGCTTGATTATATGGACTCCCTTTCTCTCTTGAATGCCACACTGACCTACATTTCTCAAGTATTCCCTAGAAATGAGATGCTCCAAGTCAGATGCATTGCGTTTTGATTCCAAACTGGTAGCCAAGGTCAAGAGAAATACAGTCTGTACATGCTTAGAGGCACCTTTGTTTTCATTGCTATACTATACATTCCAAGGCTCTTGCCATAAAAAAGATTCCAGGGTGGAATATAGCAAGTTATTGTTGTTTTTTTACCCAGAATAAAGAGCTATGAACAATATTAATGAATTCCACAGCAAAAGAGGTATTACTAGAACTGCATATAGCAATGAAGTAGAACTGCATATGACAATGAAGCAATCCTTGATAAAGGTTGTACAACTTGTAATATCAGAACCTAGAATTATTGCTAAAATTCAGAGCAATGTACTTTTTATTTTATTCTTGCTTTTAAGGGAGAAATGTATATGCTATGTGAAGGGGCAGATAATTTGTCAGGAATGCAAAATACGCAGAGGTTGAATAATAAAGAAATTTGACAATTATGAAGAGCTCAGATAAAATAAAATCACTGTAATGGACATGTAAAGTCAAGTGACTTGGCAAATGGTACAGTAAGTTTCACTTCCCTCATATTCTTTTTGTGAACTTTCATAAAGGAATAAGTTAAAAGTATAATTTGCACTAACCAGCATCAGTTTTAATGATCAGGAAAAAATGTTCACTCATCATGGTACTTTATGCAAAGTGTTGTGATCCAACCGGCATAGGAAGTGGGTGGGCAGGGGATAAAATAGGAACTTACCTGATTTTGGTGCAGCTGTTTGGATATTGGTTTCAATTTCTTGTACCAGGGATGCAGTGGTGGGTCTTTTCACTTCAGGTTTTAGGCTAGGCAGAGGTAGCGAGGGTACCAAAGATGGCAAGAAATAATCATTTCGGACAGTGTTATATGGAGATGGATTAGAGGCAATCTCAGAAGTAACTACCATGGGGCCTCTGGGTTGCTCCATGATCTCCTGTGCGGCTTCATTGGTGGGAAGGGGGAAGTAGGAGGTTTGCGCTGCAGATGGCAACCAAGCAGACAGTGCAGTAGGGTCCATAGAGGTAATCGGATCTTGTCGAGCCCTACTGGGATCAAGGTGAGTAGGAGAATCATATTCAAAAATCTTGTCCACAAACACCCACTTAAGGCCAGCAATGCAGAGGCAGAGGCTGATCAGGCAAGCCAAGATTGGGACGATGCAGATCTTTTCGGAATTAAGGCAACCCGTCAGTCGCTCTGCCTCCAGGCACACACAACAAGTAGCTGCAAGGCCTGCTACTCCCTGCATCCTGGTTTCCTCCCTTTGAGTCTCTGGCATCTCTTCTTCACCAGGAAGCCCATCAAGGGATGCAGTGGGACTCAGCTGGGTTGAAGGATGTGGAGCTTTTTCCAGACTAGCTTCCGACATTTTTGAGCCTGTATTTTCCAAGGGGAATTCTTCTCAAGAACGCTTAATTATAAAGCTTGTTTCGGGTCCATACCCTTTCACAGGAAAGCCGGCTTCAGAAATCTTACAGCATCACAGCACAGGCATAAAAATAGAGTCCAAGCATCAGAAAAAATGATCCAACAGAAAGAGACCACCAAAGAATCTAAACCTTCGAAATTCTCAGAAAAGAAGCTTCTCATAGTGAAGCTTCCTCCTCCCTTCCCACTTTTCAAAGGTTCTTATTTTAAATTCCTAGTTTCTTCTCAAGCCATCCCCGGCTCTTCAAAACAAGGCAAGGAAAAGCAGAAAGCTCAATTCCTCCACAAAATTGGTTAACTGAACCAACAACAGCCCAAAGTGAACAGCCGGCTTCTCACCTTCAGCATCTGAGACTGGGGGCTGCTCAGGAGGAGGAAAACACAGCTGGAGTCATGCAGGAGAAGCCAAAGGAAAACCAGTAAGGAGGGTAGCAGCAGCAGCGGCAATGGCAGCAGCAGAGACAGTAACAACAGCATCCTGTTGTGCAAAGGAGCTGGTTGAAAGAGGCTGAATCATTACAGAGCAGCAGGTGCCTGCTTCCTGAGCATCATTCCCAGCATCATCATTATAGAGGAAGGAATAAAAGGATGGGGACTCTCTGCTCTGCGTCCTTACCAACTCCTCCTCCTCTTCTTCATCCCTCCAGAGTACTCTTTCTCTTCCGTGCCTTCCTTCCTTCTGCTCTCTTTCCTCTTTCCCCACCCCTCTGCAGGGCTGGCCTGAGTTAAATCCGCACACCCAGCAAGACAGGGCTGCCAGGGACTTCCTATTTCATCCAATTAGATGGAATAGAGACGTACAATCAAAAAGAGGCATGCAGGAGCCAGCGAGCGGTCTTTTTTTTCCTTTTCCTCCCAGTGTATGATCACGAAAGGATTCCCAACCATTAGAGAAATCTAACAAAGCTGCAGTGAGGACGGGGCGGGGAAGAAGGTTGTAGGTGACAGCCTTATGGGCTGGACCTCAGGCTGAGGCTGTTGGATATCCGATCCTTCCCAAGGGGGATGGCAGGCCTCTCAGCTGCAATTGCTTTCTGCTGCTACCTAGATATAAAGTTTGCCTTCCTATCAATCGAGCAAGTTAGAATCATAATGGACAGGATGAGAACATAATCCTCATTTTAAATTGGAAGTGTTTTTTTTTCTTTTTGGTCATATGATCCAATCTGAGAAAGCTTGCACTTAAATCAGAATGTTCACATCAACAATCTATGATTTTGCTATGACGATTACTGTGGCTCCTGCTTTATTAGTACTGAATGAGCTTCACACAAAAGCCTTCAATGGGAAAAACTGTTATGTGGGACAACAATCTGGCTTTGCAAATATTTCATTTTTTTGTCCGAAAGTATTTAAAGGAGAACCAAATTTAAAGCATTTCTTCATTTTCTTTCTTCAATCTGCATTATTTTCTTGTTAACTAATGAACTGCTACCAATTCCAAAATAAATACTTTCAAGGACACTGATACCATAAATGAAAAATATACAAAAGTAACTATAAAAGGAACTTAAATCTGCATAGAAACATAACCGTGACTGGTCAAATGCAGAAATTATATAAATATTGACTTCACGATGAAAAATAGTCAAATGATAATTTTCAACGGCAATCCACTTTTGTATTGTATATAAGAAAATGATATGGACCATATAAATCACCAGGATTCAGTGTTTGATAATTTATTATTTACCAAAACCTGTAATTGTATTCCTTAATTTAACTATTTCAATAGCAATAGCCCTTATATTTAAATACTGCTTCACAGTGCTTTACAACCCTCTGTAAGTGGTTCACAGAGTCAGCCTATTGCCCCCAACAATCTGGGTCCTCATTTTACCCACCTCAGAAGGCTGGAAGGCTGAGTCAACCTTGAACCTGGTGAGATTCACTCTGCCAAATACAACTCAACTGCTTTTAACGTTACTATATAAAACAGAAGTCTGAATATCACAGTGTAAGGGTTAGCAAGATTTCCCTTGGAGGTTGTGCAGTCCAAAGTGTCAATATATAGTGATGGAACATATTCTGAATTCTTAAAATCTACAGTTTTTCAAGATTACGCACTGTATCAGTTTCTCTGGCCTCAAGGCACTGTGGAGTAGCCTCATTAATTTTAATCATTCATCCACTCTTAGTTGTTCAGAAGTATTGAGTAAAATATCTTCTGTTAAAATTAATAAAAACTAATCAATAACAGTAAAAACAGAGATTTTCAAATATGTAAACATAAAATGAGTATAGAATTATTCATAGGAGTAAACACATCAAAACTGATCAAGTAAAACTGAGGCAGCAAAAAATGTATGCAGTTCTATTGATGGAACAAGTTCAATGGTTTCTACTAATTCTCCAAAGATTTCACATTCCTTACAACTACTTTCCTACTTACCTACCTCTCTCATCAAAGGCAGCAGACAAATTGTTTCTATACTGCTGCTATGAAAATCATATGGGTGTAATGCTATTGGGAGTTGCGCTTGACTCAAAGGAGGTTACCATATCTGAAGTGAAAAGATATTGGCAATCACTAATTAGGATTTTGCTGCCCTCTAGTGGTTATCAGGATTCTTGCATCCCAGGTGATGGTAACTTGAAGGAGGACCTCTCACAAGCTTAAGTTTTCCAACCCAAATATTTGAGGCCATGATGGGAATATGCAGTATATGTAATTTTTGCATTTTGGCTGAGGAATTCTATAAGTTGTAGTCTACTCATCTTAAAGTTGCCAAGTTTGAAAAATGCTGATCTAGAGGTTTCATTGGGTGGAGAAGTATTCTGCATTATTCTGTATTTAAGCCTGAATGCCTTTTCAGAAAACTAAAGACTATTTTGACTTTTTAATTTTTTTTCCAGTGAAAGCTTTTACTAGATCTGCTGAGATTGTTGTTTGTTTACCCTATTCAGCCATTTTTGCAACTAGAAAAAAAAGCCTTTTCTAGCCAAAGATCCAGTCCAAAAGAGGGAAAAAACCTCATTAAAAATACAGGAAGGTGATGGCTCACTCCCATCTTTATTCCTATTACATCCTTGCAGGAATATACCTGTACTCTCTAAGGTGATATATATAATCATGATCAGTGATCAATCACAATCTTATTCTCAAAGAGTCTTAACATATCCATTTCAGATGTCTTTGAACACATGCATAATACCAGCTTTCACATTCTCTATCTTTTCAGACCAACTTTATTTGAAATAGAAGTAAATAAAATACTGTTCTCTATTTTACGTATATCATCAGCTCAAATGGCTGAAAAGGAAGGTATAGTTTTTTTAAAATCTACTTCCTTTGCAGTCCCTTTGTTTTCTGTTCTCCATAATCTTCTGTGATAATCAGAATCTAATATCTGCCACATAAGACTGCAAGGGTTGGGTAGACCACAAAACTGTAATTTTGCCTTTTGTAATGCCTGACCTTAAAATAAACACAGGTTGTTCTCAACTTATAACAGTTCATATAGTGACTTATGACTGTTTTTCACAATTACAACCTTTGCAGCATCCTCATGGTCACATGATCCAAATTTGGATGCCTGGCAATGGCTCATATTTATGACGGCTGCAGTGTCCCGGGGCCTTGTGATCACTTTTTGTGATCCAATAAGAAATGAGAAAGCCAGATTCACTTAATAACCATGTACTAATTTAACAACTGCAGTGATTCACTTAACAATGATGGCAAGATAAAATGGACAAAACTCACTTACAACTGTCTTGCTTAGCAACAGAAATTTGGAGCCCAATTGTGGTCGTAAGCCGAGGACTACCTGCAAAATTTTACTTTCACATTTTAAGCCAAACTTTCTTACTTTGCACTTTCCTAATGTGCAGGTTAATTGAAATACCCTCAAACAATCCTCAAACAAAACACCAAGCAGGCATTATTATGTGAACAAAAGCCTCTTCAGAAGTCAGGTGTCAGCTGTCTCTTGCAGCCATAAAGGGCCATCTCCACTGTCTGAAGGGGAGGGTTATACCTGTATATGTACCTAAAGACCAATAGAAACTGGGTAGAACACAATCCATTAATGACAAGTTATAGATTCCTAGAAAACCATTGGCTTGGAAGAAGAGGGAAAACAATACTTCAAAACTGGAATAGCTAAGGGTGACTTAAATTAAGGGTGACTTTAAGCTACTGAGAGATAGATTGCACAAGAATATCAAATGGACATGGCATAACAAACTGTTAAGGAGCTATAAAGTTATTACTTTACAGGGTAACAGTTGATAACAGTACAAAATGTGAAAAAAATCTTCAACATTAAAAAGAAAGTCTTGTCTCCCTTAGGATACTTTGCAGTTCCTTTTTCTTTTTAGTGGATCTAGTACAAAATAATGTCATGGTAGGTTTTATGGAATATCTAATATATTTCATCAAATCATAGCTTCACACAATCCTTTATAAGTCTATGGAGATTCTCAGTCATCTAGGCCATAATTGTCTCAAAGGTGCTTTTTTTAAAGAGCCAACTGGACTTTATTTTTTCTTTGAAGATGTTTCACTTCTCATCCAAGAAGCTTTTTCAGCTGCAGAAGCTTCTTGGATGAGAAATGAAACATCTTCATGAAAAACCATAAAGTCCAATTGCCCCTTGAAAAAAGCACCTTTGGAACAATCCTTTACAAGGTTTCTAATATGCTGGTCACCCCTGATACACTCCAAATCTTACTGGAATCCGATATGAAGGTACTCTGGAAATTACCAAAACGTTAACTTTCCATCATCATTTTTATCTGCTAATAGCTTTAGGATCTCAAATGTAGAAAAATACCTTTTTTTCCTGGGCTTATTAAGAAACCAGCCAAACAAAGGAAAATACAGAAAGGAAGAAAATAGCAACATATACTGCTCCATAGTGGTTTTTACAGCATTCTTTGACTGATTTTCAATGTCAGCATATTGTCCCCAACAATCTTGAGTCCTCATTTTATTGACCTCACAAGGATTGGAAGGCTGAGTCAGTCTCCAGCCATGTTAGGATTGAACGCCAGACTGTGGGCAGAGTTAGCCTGCAGTACTGCATTCCAACCACTGTGCCACTAAGGCTCCTTAGTTAGGGTATTAAAAACTATTTAATACCTAACTAAATCACTTCAAGGAATAGTATATTCAATCTGCAGAATGAGTAGCATAGAACCTGCAGTAAAATAAGTGTTTGCCACAATGCTATTAATCAACATGCAACAAGGGTGATAGCTTTCTTAGTATATATTTTCTTTTTGCATTAAGGACAGTAGATTGAATTTTACCATCCCAGACTGACAATGACTATCTCAAGGGGGTAAGTACAGCTCTCATGCTATTTCTTCCCCTTCCTTTTTCAGTCTCCTCCTTTTTGTAATATCCCATAAAGATTTCCCTTGCTTGATTAGATTGCTTTCCTGGTTTTATTTCCAGCAGTCAGCTATTATTGTAACACAGCCATCCATGGGAAATACACACAGCAAATCAGTA